AGATGTCATTCTGCGTTTATAAGCTACGTGTTGAACAGATTTCTCGATCTTTCGGGTTCATAGTCAGAAGGCCCATGGCCTAGACAGAACTATCTCAAAAATATGGCAGCTTTTCAGGTTACTAATTGATCATTACTCGACAGATTAAGGGTGAATGACAGGCTTTCACGGTTACCGTAGCCGTCATAGAGTAAATACACCAGTTCACTTTGCCGTGCTGCGTAATCTCATGCATTGTACGGTGCAGTCTTGAACTTCATCGTACTTCTCCACAGTAATCGAAATTATTCCAACCATCGCTAGCCTATTAGGGCAAGTGTACAAAACAGAGAAAGAGTAAATCAACAGATATTCTCATTCTTACCCTATGAACACCGAAATTCAAACCACGTGAGAGAATCGCCATCATTCAGATTTGTTCGAACGCTCATCCCTGACAAACTACAAGGCAAATTTTACAAATGACATGCCAAAGCTTAATCGATATCATTTATTGGCATGTCACGTCCTTCCTGTTGCGAGAGAATCGAGCCTGAATAAAAAGCCATCCAGACCGAAGCAGCATGCAACCTGTGGTCTTCATGGAATCAGGACAAGAACTGCTGATTGAGTGAGTCTAATTGAGTGGTTAGCCTAATTGAGTTAGCATAGTTAAACTTGCGGTATAAAGCCTATAATTTTGCATCCACGCAGTGGAGCATAAGCAAAGATCACAGCACAGATTGCATGCAAGGGCAGAAAAGAGTGAAGTGATGTTTTTAAAACGCTACGGCAGAAATGAGGAATTGTCATGGTTCGATCATGAAGCAACCGTAACCAGGAACCGGCAGTGTTCTTTCTACTTCGAGTACAACTCGTCCTAGAAGAAGGTTGTTTCTTGTTCGTTTTGTTTGCTGAGCTGCGCTTCACCTTCAGCCGCCTGCATAAGCAGAACGTCCCCTCTCTGTAATGTCCGCTGTATCATCATCTTCTCAATACATTTTTTATAAGGCACCGGATACTGCTTCGAAGAAGAAAATATTCCTTTCCAAAAGTAGAGGCTATTGAAACAATGTATAATCCACTCCTCGCTAATGGGCAAAACATGTTGTGAAGCTTGAAAATGAAGGATAGTGAAAAACAAGAACAGCCAGGGTATAAGGCCAGTAACTAAGGAAGAAAGACTTGCTCAAAGTTGAAATGTCGATCTTCCTTCAGTTTTAAGATTGGGAAATTTTCGCGCCCTTCTTTTCATGAATCTAATGGTGCTATGCTAATCCCTGTTACTGTGCCATTCACCAGGAGTGCCTTATGTTTTAAGAAATGGTCTACAGCTGTGTGTCAAGCGTAGCATGTGGTCTGCTGGTTCCTTTCCACAGAATGGCACTCATTTATTAACCTCTGAAGGAAGAAGGACGAATGAGCCTGATCGGAACTTGAACTCAGAACGCATCGGTCATGAGTTTCACGCCCTGCCGACTAAGCAACCCCGGTCTGAAGCAATTTGTGGTAAATTCCTTGCTCAAGAAAATTCGTGAATAATACAGAGATGGCCTTCGAATGGAATTGAATCCCCTTCTTCGCAGTTCGAAGCAGATATCTCAGACAACTGTGCCAACATGCGTCTCAATAGATATCGAAATAAGATGCTAAGGAAGAGTTCTAAATACTAAACCACGATCAGAGAGTGATAAAATTGCAAGAGCTGAGAAGTTATCAAAGCTGCAACGTTCCACCGTACTCGTGTCAATTTTGCAGGGAAACTTCCACCATGCTCGTTGGTTTCTTAAAAGAATTTTTCATGTGATTGATTTTTCATAATTAAATAATGTCCAATTTGCTCACTGCTCAATTCCAGTAGTCCATCAGTGCGAAGACGTGGCTAAGCACAAATTGATTTTAGTCAGAGGTTATTCGATTTAGCTGGAGGAAAAAATTTACTCTAAGTGCTGTTCAACGGCAGCCTTCAATGCAAGTTTCTCCGTTCAAAAGCACTGAGGATTTTCAAGGGACAACAGCGTCGGTCAGTAACGTGGAAAAATTACCATAAAGTTTATGAGGCAAATTATCGTTAAGCTAGCCGCCACTATGCAAATTGACCAATCGAAAAGAGGTGATGACGGCTCGTTTGTTGATGAGATGCCGCAATGGCATCGCCAGCGTTATGGGCTTCGTTTAAAGTTTATTATTTGATGCTGACTGCTTGCACGTGATGCCTGCTGGCCCGGGGTTATAATAGGTAAAATCCAAGAGTAAGCCGATGATCGACTTCCAGGAGAAAAGCGAGGTAGCTGGTCCCTTCGCCTTGACCAAACACACGACAGTTGCCACAGCAGGCTGATAGTTACGACAAAAACGATGCGAAAAATTCCGGGGATGCGGTAAAGCTGAAGCCGCGACATGACATTCTATATGCCGAATAAAATATGACTTTCGACCGCCAGCCAGAGTGAGTAAAGTGGTCGATGCAAAGCTGAGGTGGAAGTCAAAAACGTACGCAGCACCGACGGAAATAGTTCACATGTCGGCGATGACCGGATCGGAAAACTACGAACGCGTTCAGAACAGCTGAACGTCGGACGGAAAACGTCTTCTAACTCAATCCAGTGGTGTGCGGCAAGAAGAAACGCAGATGTCATCGATGCCAAGTCGAAATGTAGCTGATGCCGCGGTATGGGCGCCAGACGTACCTCCTGCTGCCTTCCTTAGTAGTTGGCGTTTATCCGCATAGGCAGAGGTCTTCACCATCATCGTTCTTCTTGCCACCTGAGGCTATCGGTTTCACTCACTACGTGGATATTCAATGACTCACTAGCGTACTTCTCCATCCGGTAATCGGTTGATCGAGTTCAGCAGTTGTACTCAAATTATGCATAAAATCGGGTCCCGGTTTACACTGACCGGCAAGGTCTTTGATGAACGCTGAAAATGGCTGAAACAAAAAAGTCTGTCCTATTTGTTCAGTTTGGATGTCATGCGTTTACTGTTTACTATCTCTCGCTTATCAGTCGCGGATATGGCGACTGCATATCAACTTTCAGCCACACTACATGCACAAGTGTATTCGACTGTGAAAGAT